TTCAGGTATTCCACAGATGCAGGTACATCAAGTTGATTGTGGAGTTTTAATCCGCTGCTTCTGAGGCTGCTGGGAGAGATTCCCCTTTCTCTTCTTTGTTCTCACAGCTCCCAGGGGCTCAGCTTTGGATATGGCCCCGCCTCTGCGTGTAGGTTGCCGGAGAGCATCTGTTCTTCGCTCAGACAGGACGGGGTTAAAGGAGCCGCTGATTCGGGGGCTCTGGCTCACTCAGGCCGGGGGGAGGGAGGGGCACGGAGTGCGGGGTGATCCTTCGGCGGCAGAGGCCGACGTGACGTTGCACAAGCCTGAGGCCCGCCGTGCGTTCTGCCAGGGAAGCTGTCCCTGGATCCCGGGACCCTGGCAGTGGCGGGCTGCACAGGCTCCCCGGAAGAGGGGTGTGGATAGTGACCTGTGCTCGCACACAGGCCCCTTGGTGGCGGCAGCAGCAGCCTTAGCGTCTCCTGCCCGTCTCTGGGGTCCGTGCTTTTAGCCGCGGCTCGCGCCCGTCTCTGGAGTTCCTTTAAGCAGCGCTCTTAAACCCCTCTCCTCGCGCACCACGAAACAAAGAGGGAGGAAAAAGTCTCTTACGTCTTCGGCAGCTCCAGACCTTTTCCCCTCATCTCCTTTTTATACCCACTTTATTCTCTTTATCCTCTAAAGCTCAGCTTATAGTCTTCAGGAAGACTTTCAGATCATTTCTGCTCACAGAATTCATTCCCACCTTTAAAATCATTTTGTGGAGGTAGTATGGTATAGAGCAGTGGTTCTGGAACTTAAGCAGGCATTAGAATCCTGGTGAGGAGGTCTTGTTAAAACTTGATTTCTTTTGTCCGTTCCTCAGAGTTTCTGATTCTGTAGGTCTGGGTAGGACCCAGGAATTTGAATTTCTAAGAAGTTGCCAGGTGATGCTGATGTGCTGATCTGGGGACCACACTTTGAAAACGACTGCTATAGAAGCATAGAAGACCATCCTGGGAGCCAGACAGATCTGGATTTGTATCCCAGTTCCTCTACTTCCAAGGTATATGATAGTGAACTAGTTATTTTTCCTCTCTAAAGTTCAGTTCCCTCACCTGTAAAAAGAGAACAATATTAACAACTACCTGGAAGATTCATTTATTAGGATTTAACAAAATGACATATGTGTTATTAAATACTGGATATCTTTGGTATTATTTTTGTTGCTTATGGTAAAAACTAAAATATACCAGCTATTATTTTTGTTGTGGAAAATAAAAGGTTAGAAAATAGAGATTTGTTGACATGCATAGGTCAAACCCAAGAGAATGTAAACTTTCTTACATGCCAGTTTTACATACCCCAAACTGGCCTGTAAGCAAGCTACATGGATTAGTAGAGCAATCATTTACCTTACAATGGCTATAGTGACCCACTTCTGTGTACATATTACTTCATCCTTAACAAGAGGAACGAAGTGTGTTGATACGTTACCATTTGATACAGGGACTCCCTGTTGGGCAGAGTTTTATTCTAAGTTTCTCAAAGGATTAGCTCTTTCTAATGTTCAGCTTACCATGTCTGCTTTTAGCATAGACAGGAATATCTGGTCCAATCTGCCGCGGTCAAAATGGCAGGGTTGGTTGTGTTTGATGTACCCAGTATAAGTCACAGAAGAGATAGCAAGGGAATTGCATTCCTCCCAAGAGCACAATGGGAATGGCAAATAGGATCTTGGCATGGACCATCTTGACAGGTATTTTCACTTGTAATTCTTGGCTGGGCTTGGCTGAGTGGCTTTGCTGTAAGGTCTGTCTCTAGGTTGAAGGGGCTGTGGCTACAGAGGAAGCTCTTTTCACAGCTATGGGAAAGGTACAAGAGAACAAGCAGAGGGACTTCCCTGGTGGTCCAGTGGTTAAGACACTGTGCTCCCAACGCAGGGGGCCCGTATTCAATTCCTAGTCAGGGAACTAGATGCTGCCTGCCGCAACTAAGAGCCCGCATGCCACAACTCAAAACATCCCGCATGCCACAACTAAAGATCCCACACATGGCAACGAAGGTCCCGCACGCCACAACTAAGACCTGGCACAGCCAAATACGTAAATAAAAAAGAAACCACTTATTAAAAAAAAAAAGAAAGCAAGCAGAAGTATGCAAGGCATACAGAGACCTAGGCTTAGAACTAGCATTCTATCACTTCTGCCCGCTTTGTTGGCCAAAGCAAGTTACGGGGTGGGGAAAGGTAGTCGGTCTCTATGATGCCATTAAAGCAATCAATTTACCCCCAAAATTAACAAAACAAATGAAGGCTCTACATGAAGAAAATTACAAATTTTCAATATAAAATCAAGGTCTAAACAAATTGAGAGGCATAGCATGTTCTTGGATGAGAAGATTTAATTATAAAAAACTATTCTCAAATCAATTTATACATTTCATACAATTCCAATTAGAATACCAAGTTGGATTTGTTTTGTGGAACTGGACACAGCAACTGGGAAGTTCATTTGGAAGAAAAAAAATCTTAAAAATGTCGAGAAATGTATCTAAAAGAATAGTGAGGGAGACTTCGCAAATATCAGAACATAGTATAAAGCCATTACAACCCAAGTAATATGAAACCGGCATAGTAGACGAATTGTTCATTCAGACATAGAGCAGGAAACATTAAAATTTAGCATATGACAGGAGTATTTTAATTCAGGGAGAAAAGATTGATAATTGGTGCTGGCACAACTGGTCATCCATCTATAAGAAAATGAAATTGGATTCCTATGTTTCACATATACAAAAGTAAATTCCAGTTAAAAGACAACTATAAAAATTAAATTGTTAAGAACTTTAGAAAAAAATCTAAGAGACAACATTTACAGGCTATGGGGAGAGAAAGACCCTACTACTACTACTATTACTACTACTACTACTACTACTACTACTAAATAAGCCTAGCATCTATTTTTTTTAAATTTACAATAAAAGTTTTTTCTAGCATCTATTTTAAAAATTGATATATCTGAGCATATAAGTACTAAATTTTTTTAATGCAAAATTAACTATAAGCAATGCCTGCAGGCAATTTGGAACAAATATTTGCAAAACAGATGATGGATTTAGCAAGGGTTAATAACTATAACATACAGAGTGGTCTTGGATATGAATATGCAATTCACAAGAGCAAATCCAAACAGCCAATAAATATATTAGAAGATGCTCTAATGTGCTACCAGTCATAAAAATGCAAACTAACATTGATACATTGCTTTACATCTCCCAGACTAGAAAATACTAAAAAAAAAAAAAAAAAAAAAATCTAAACAGGGATAACAGCTATTGCAAGCAGAGATAAAAAACCAAGGGTACACTCATCACGCTAGTAGAAGTGAATTTTCATAGTCCACCTCTTTGGTACCCCAATGTCACATTTTTCTTCCCATTTAAATAACCCTCTCACTCTCTTTAAAGTCCAAGTCTCTGGGTGATGTTCATTCCTTTCCATGCGGTCTCCTCGTGTTTCCCCAGTGTCAAATGATGTAAAAACTTAAATACAATTTAAGTTGTATGTATGTTGTAATTTATTAATTTCAACACAGACATATGCAGTAATTAAACATTAGGAAAAATTGCAAAATAAGCTTCAATTTGAAAAGGGACAGAGTAAAAACATCCACCTGTCACTGGTCCACAGCAAACATTCAAACCCTGATGGGCAGGAGTGGCAAGGGCTCTGTGGTGTCAAGGAAGTTGCTGCCAATCTAGCAGACCTTGTTTCTGTTTTCTGGGAAATCCCTCTGTCCTTCCATTCATGCCTCTGTTTCTCCCTGAGGTGGGAGTAAGGGATCCTCCTTGTCCATCATATTTCGTGACAAGGAGTGAGGTCAACTGCCTAGTTTTTGTTTTGTTTTGTTTTTTTTGTGGTACGCGGGCTTATCACTGTTGTGGCCTCTCCCGTTGCGGAGCACAGGCTCCGGACGCGCAGGCTCAGCGGCCATGGCTCACGGGCCCAGCCGCTCCACGGCATGTGGGATTTTCCTGGACCGGGGCACGAACCCCTGTCCCGTGCACCGGTAGGCGGGCTCTCAACCACTGCGCCACCAGGGAAGCCCAACACTTCTTTATTAGAGCTTGCTATGCCAGGAATTGCACTAGATTAGGCAAATATGTTAACTTGCTGGTTCTCAAGCTTGGGTATATATCAGAATCACCTGGAAACTTTCAATAAAATGCAGATGTTCAGGTCTTATCCTATTTCAGTGAGCCTCTGTATCTTGTACTAACTTTCTGGGTCGGTCCAGTATGTACCTAACTTTGAATTCTTCCTGCATTAACTCATTATATCTAAGGTTGCTCTCATTTCTCTCTTTACAGAAGCCCAAGCTAGGATTCAGAGGTTAAGTAATTGGTTTGAGTTGGCTGGAAGAGAGGGAGAACTTAAAAAGTAAGTTTTGCTTGAATTGGTGGGGAGTTTAGAAGCTTGAAGATCTTAGTTGATATTAATATGACATTACTCTTGCTCACAGTCTGGAGAAGATTGATGACATTATAGACAGGTATGCTTGGAAAAAAGTATTGCACATTAAAACAAGAAACCAAGAAAACATTCTCAGCGTCTGTTTGCCACCTTACGTTATTAACCCATTTTTTTCATTAAGCATTTCAAGTATTATTTGCGCATAGTTAAAAAAAAACAATGGAGAAAAAGTTTCTCCCTCAATATTAGATGTTTCTAATGCATCCTAAGGACTGGCATGGGGAGTGTTTATGCACTTTTTAAGACTTACATTTTATAGTGTATGTCATTTTGGGTCATTTCCCTCATCACCCAATCCCAGTTTTGTTAGTTTTCCACTGCATATAGAATAAAATGTAAACTCCTTTACATGAGCTAAAACACTCTTCTTGATCTGGCCCTGCCTGCTTCTTCCACTATTTCTACCATTTCCTTTAACCGTATTTCACCTCGCTGGCTTTGTGCTGTCTGAGGGTCTTGCATCAGATGGCTCTTCTGCCTGAAAGACTCTCCCCCGATCTTGTCTGGCATTCAGGTGTTACCTTAGATGATCCTTCGCAGTTCGTCCATTAGTCTGTTTTATTTTCTTATAAGTGTTGATCACTATCTGAAAGTATCTTATTTATGTACTTGCTTACTGTCTTTCTCCTCCATTCACAAATAAGCTGCATAAGAATAAGGACTTTGTCTTGTTCCTCAATGTTTCCACAATATCTTGAAAAAAAAAAAAAACAGTGCCTGGCACATAACAGGGCATAATACATATTTGTTGAACGAAAGAATATGCCTTTCATACAGAGGAACAGACACACACACACACACACACACACACACACACACTCTCTCTCTCTCTCTCTCTCTAAGAAATTTACAACAATGGGATCATGTTATCATTAAAAAAATTAATTCTGTGTCTTGGAGATTTTCCCAGAAAAACACACACAGATCTACCTAGTTCTTTTTTTACGGTTTAAAGATCTCCAGGATATAAAATTTAGTTAAAAATAAAAAAGCGAAGGGCATAATGTAATACTATTTTGTGGATATACTGTGATTCGTTTATTTAGACCCCCATTGATGGATATTTAGGTTGATTCCAGGAGTTTGCCGTTTCAAAAATACAGAAATGAATATAATCACACTAGTGTCTTGGAGTACTTTTATCTCTCAATTTAAAAATTTTAATATTTCAGTTGCATACATAAGCAATATTTTATCAGAATCACCATATTATGTGACTGTTATTGCTGGTGGGAGGGAGATATTATTAATTAAAATTAATACCTAAGGATTTTCAAAGATTGATAGGATAATTAGGGAGAAAACTTCTTATTTATTTTAGCTCCAGATTTACTGTGTTATTATTATATGTGAGATGCCAATTTTTAAATGAATTTCCTGGAAAAGAAAAAAATATTTTCCTTATTACTCTGACTTTTGAAATAAAATCAAGAATTGGTTAATTTCTCAAGTGTAAAATTCAGCAATGCCCATGCTTGCTGACCCATGAGGAATTTGAAAAGGCTGGCTAATGCATTATTGATTGTACTTTTTCTATTAGTTCTAGGAAGTGGGCAGTCCTTGGGGTGGGGTGAAGCCTTCAGGGCCTAGGTGGATCATGCTGTGTGTCTCCTTCTCTGCTCCACCAGTCTTGTTAATCTAGTGATATCAGGTCACAAGGAACACTGCGCTTCTGTAGATCGAGTGTTTGTGAGACTCGGGTCCGGTTAGCCCGCAGAACCAACTCCTGCCTCATCCCATGGATGCTTCCTTGAATTACAATTCATCTTTCACAAGAGGAGAGGACAAGGTGGAGGACAGCTGGCCCACGGGCATTTATCTGATCCACAATAGCCTAGGTCGGTGTTTCCCAGAGGGTTATGTTTGTACCTCTTTGGACCTCTGGACACATTCTAATTTATCAGCCTTTATTTTAAAAGCATTCATGGAAGCCTAAGCAGGGCCTCCCACCTGTTGTTCCCAACCCCAAACTATGTCTTGACATGTCACTACCCTCTGGGAAACCACAAGTTACCGTAGCAAGAAGCAATAACCAGTTCTCTAAGACCTGGAAGGACCTGCCTTTCCTTGGTGGCAATTCCAGGTTTATTTACACACCCAACCCCAAGAAGAAAGAAGGCCAAAAGAGCATCTGTGTGTGCCTTATGCTTTTAAATGCTTGATGAATGCTTATACTTTTAAAGGTGGCCAAATGAGTACTTTGAGCCTTATCAATCTGGTTTAGCAATTCCTCCTTCCTTGGGGAGAAGATAGGGGTTGGCATAAGGTGGTTGGAGTGGCAGATATATCTCCTCTTCTATATCTGGATTAAGTTTAAAAAGAGATTTTTTTTCCAAGTGGAAATGCTAGAACTCGTTTAAGGAACAGAAGTTTGAAGATAGGGAATATTTTGAACCCACCTTGATCTGTGTACCTCACCCTTTTGTCTTTCTGAATTGCTTTAATGTAATATATATATATGTAACACATATATAATGTATATATATTACATTAAATACATATGTATCTAATATTCATATATACCTTTTTCTTTCTTTTTCTTTAAGTAGATCTTGGGAAGTCCACATATAGATCTAAGTATATAACATGCTTGGTTATATGATGTCAGGAGTATTCTGATCTGTCTTGGGCCTTTTTCCAGTGCTAATGGCTAAGGTTCCATGAACTGCCAGAACACCTCCGAAAGAAGATGAAGTCACTGGCTGAGACTCCCTTGCTCCCCACCCAGGACAATATTTCAGAATTGTAGATGAAAATCACAGTGTAAGATTTTTTCTCACCCATTTTCTTATATCATGGTGTTTACTATGGGAGATTTTAAAGGTAATTAGTGTAGTATTGAACTTTGAGGATATAATGAAATGTGGACAGGTTTTTAACCTATGTATGAACCTTTGCAGGAATGTTTGCCTTTGAGCCAGGCTTGAGCATCTCATTATTTATTCCCATGATGCCAGTTGACTGAACTGCATAATAGTTCCAAAGATTCTGTCTGCCAGACTCTTGTCTATTTTCATAGTGTATTCAGAAGACTCTGAAAGGACCTGATACTTAGGAAGAAAGGGCTGGTTCAGTTAGTGGAGACTAGAGGCATTTGTTCATTTTCTGTTTGGGAAAATTGCCATTATTTCACCAAGATGTTATAATAAAAAAGCTACTTACTCATTAAATGATAATGTAGTGTTTTCCCTTCAAAATGGGAAGACTGAATATAATTTTTTCTAAAGAACCCATTATTAATGTTAATGATTTATAGGTCCCTTATTACTTTGCTTACCGCTGATGGGGCAGTGGTGAGGTCTGAAAGTCCAAAACTTTACCCCCATAATTATAGTTATATTCCTTCCAATAATAATGGAAAAATTGTCTATAAACATAATTTTATAAGTTTGTAAATGTAATTTTATAGGTAGTTGAATCATAATTAGGGCTCTGATGAATTATTCTATTTTGTGTGTTTCCATTTTATTTTATCAAGTTTTTTTTTTTAAAGCTAGGTACACTTTTACTCTATTATTGAGTATATTTCACCTTAGAAAGGGATAGTCACAGCTCTTTTATCCTAGAAGGAAGGGAGTAAAGAGGTGAAAATTACAGGAAACAGGAGTAGATTGAGTTTTATGACCCTCCTTGTAACAAGGAGAGCCTAGAGCATATAGTACAAGGATGGAGCTACTCTTCCACGAAAGAGGCTATTTCTTGAGTCTGGTTTCAGATATCCCATCAGAAATAATGTCATGAGCATACATGAGCACAGTACATAGTGAATATATATCTTCTCTACAGGAATAAAATTTTACATCAAAGACATATTTTCGTGCTTAATTTTTTGTTCTATGCTCTATTTCAAAGCTCTGAAATGACTTTAAAATTATTTTTGACTAAAAGATTTAAAAGACAAATCGTGCATCTCTTGAAGGTTAGAGTCAAAGAGTACGTCAGGCCCTGGGAAGTCACTGCAGACAGTGGTAAAATGATTTCAGATCTACATCACAGCATTCTTATGCTTTGACTAAAACTAGATTGAGAGATGGTGGCATAATGGGAGGGGAGAGCAGGTATTGTAAAACTCGTCAAGGAGGCATCATAATGGGACAAAAGGTTACTTCAAGAGGGGATATTTCATTCTCCTATCCTGAACATTCCAGAATAATGCTTTCTAGAGAATTTGCAAACAATTTATGAAGAATGACAACATTAAGATGTCAATGGTGACAAAGCTTAATACAAATCAGCGTGGTAAAGGTAGTTGAGTAAATATGGAATATCCTTTAATACATAAAACAAAATTCCATGAGGGTTACCATGTCTAATTTTATGTTGTCATGAAAGGATGACAATAAAAAACAAATAACAAGGAGATAGGCCCATTTACTATTCTTTCTTAATTTTGTTGCTGTTTCTTCCTGCAAATCCCCTAAAAAAGTGAATGATACCACAGCATGGCTTGAGATGTCTCAAGCTTTGCATTTCTTTCTCTCATTCCTCTTTTTCCCTTGGGCCAACATTATTTAATATTCTAGTTGTTTACCCCTTGAGTTAATTATCATGGGTTACAGAGACCAAGTTGTCCTATCTGTTGCATATCATTAAGTGGCTTCATTTAAACGTTAAATTAGGGCTTCCCTGGTGGCACAGTGGTTAAGAATCCGCCTGCCAATGCACGGAACACAGGTTCGAGCCCTGTTCCAGGAAGATCCCACATGCCGCAGAGCAACTAAGCCCATGCGCCACAACTACTGAGCCTGTGCTCTAGAGCCTGTGAGCCACAGCTACTGAGCCCACGCACCACAGCTACTGAAGCCTGCACGCCTAGAGCCCGTGCTCCGCGGTGAGAAGCCACCTCAATGAGAAGCCCATCGGCACAACTAGAGACAGGCCGCGTGCAGCAACAAAGACCCAATGCAGCCAAAAATAAGTAAGATAAATAAATTAAAAACAAACAAGATGTTAAATTATATTAGGTGAAAAACATTTGTCCATTCTGCTCATTTATCTACCATCCTTGCTAACTCTCTTTATGAAAAACCATTTGTGCAAAGATCTTGATGAGGGAAGAGGAGAAAGTCTTATAGATTATAGATTTTATAGAAACACAATTGATCAACTCCACCATTGTTGGCTCAGAGTGAACCCCTTGGTACTCAAATGGAGTTTGAGTGAGATTATGGCCAGAGCTTCACTGCCTTGACCTTCGTGGAAACTATGATCACACTGGCCAGGGAACATATACTAGTTTCCTATTAAGATCGTGTTTGTTAAGCATCTGTTAGAAAGTTACTGACTCAGCAGGAGTGCCTCTACAAAAGGACTCCAAATTTATACTCTGTGTAATTGGGCGGTCAGCGCGTGGTCAGTCTCTGTGAGTGGCAGAAAAGGGTGGAAGTGAGGTTTGTTTGGAGGGTTATCTTTGGTGTCTGACCCTGGTCGGACTGGCTTTACTCTCTTTTTTTTTTTTTTAACTCTCTTTTGATAGAACTCTAGAATTGGGTTGGAGATCTATATCCATCATGCAGTAGAGTTTCTTGTTTCAGGGCTCTGATGTCAGAGAGATCTGGATATAAATCCTGGGTCTGCTGCTTACTAGCGGTGTGAACTCTAGGCCTCAGTTTCCACATTTGTATTACTTTTTAGACCTTTCGTAAGGATTACGTCATGTCTGTAAAAGCACTCAATTAAGGCTGGTCACTGTTATTTTAGTGACGTAAGGCAAAAGTAAAAATGCAAATCACGATGCTTCCATTTTTTCTTAAAGATTGGATATGAGCTATAGGGAGTGGAGGATGAGTGTGTGACTGGAGATAGCATTGGGGTACCCCTAGGATTTCCCATAGCTCCCGGGGTTCATGCTGCTCACTGGCTTTTCAACTCTTCTTTGCTTCCTTCTGTTCCAGAGCCTGAGTTGTAAGAGTCAGGAATAATGGACTGGTGAGTAGGCAATACAGAGGCACGTACAAATCCGCCAGCCTACGAGACATTTGCTTCTCAACAGACATAGATTTCATAGTCCAAATAGTCATAGCATTTCGTAGTCAAAAGGAAGCCAGAGCCTGTAAATCGATCCTGCTCATTGCTGAGTGCAGAGCAGAGATTCTGGGATTAACTGTGTTGAGGCTTCTAAAGGATACCAGACTAAAGCAAATAGAAAATTTACTAAACATGGTGTTATAGGTTGGATTGTGTCCCCCCACCCCCAAATTCATATGTTGAAGTCCTAAATCCCCAGTACCTCAGAATGTGACTTTATTTGGAAATAGGGTGATTGCAGATGTAACTAATTAAAATAAGATGAGGTCATATTGAAATAGGGTGGGCCCCTAATCTTATATGGCCAGTGTCCTTAAAAAAAGGGAAAATGTGGGGCTTCCCTGGTGGCGCAGTGGTTGAGAGTCCACCTGCCGATGCAGGCGACACGGGTTCGTACCCTGGTCCGGGAAGATCACACATGCCGCGGAGCGGCTGGGCCCGTGAGCCATGGCCGCTGAGCCTGCGCGTCCGAAGCCTGTGCTCCACAACGGGAGAGGCCACAGCAGTGAGAGGCCCGCGTACCGCAGGAAAAAAAAAAAAAAAGGAAAATGTGGAGGCAGACATGGGCACAGGGAGAACACCATGAAGTCCTGAAAGCAGGTATTGGGGGCATGCAGCTATAAACCAAAGAGCACCAGAGATTCCAGCAAACCACAGGAAGCTAGGAGAGAGACATGGAACAGAGTCAGTAGTACAGCCCTCAGAAGGAACCAAGCCTGCCCACACCTTGATCTTGGACTTACAGCCTCCAGAACTGTGATACAGTAAATTTCATTTCAGCCAGCCAGTTTGTGGTACTTTGTTTTGACAGCACTAGTAAAGTAATACACACAGGTAAAATTATTTCCATTTCTCTGAAACAGGGCTGGGACTAGAGTGAAGCAAATGAAGCACCTGCCTCAGGCACATTTAAGGGGCACTAAAAATACCCTTCAATAATGAATATGCATAACATCTTCATGCAGTATTTAAAAAATTGAAATTAATGCAAAAAATCAATGCCAAACAGAACATCAAAAGTTTAAATAAGGACGGGAACAGTGGTAGCTTCGTCTTGAGCATATCAGAGCCTGGGGCAAAAGGAATGAAAAATTAATAATAAGATCCTATCTTTATTTAAACTTTCGATATTTTGTTCATCGTGGATTTTTTGGATACTTTTGATGTTCTAAAATATTGCATAAAATATTATGTATCTTGATCTCTTAGGTTTTTGGCACCCCTTAAATTTTACATCTCACTTGTCTCACCCTAGTCCTTGCCCTGCCTCAAAACCATCCACTGAGGATAGGACTCTACTTGCAACAGAGAGTAGGCTGAAACCTTTGTGATTCCCACATTCATCATTTTGTTTTTGGCCAGAGAAACGAAGAGTGCTTGCCAGATAGTTCCGCCTGTCTTTCATGTCATCTCGAACACAAAGATTAACATGAAATTCAATTTCTCAACTCCAGAGTGATTCCCTTGCTGTCACCCTTTCTTCAGTTCCACTTTATTCTCACATTAATTGTGGGCAGAACTTCAGTACCATTATTAATTCTGCTGTCTTTCTTGTCACCCATATCCAGTTGTTAAGTCAGGCTAATTCTTTCCCTATCTCCTAAGTAAAAAGGGCCTTATTGTGCTTTTGTAAAATAAATATTAAAGAATTCATTGAGATATAAGATTTCATATATTTTAATGGGTATAGAGAAGAGAGTAAAAGATTATCAGTAATTTCACCATCCAGAGATACCTTTTCTCAATATTGTACATTCTTCCAGACACTATACATTTGTGCTTGCAAATATGTTTTCAAAAATGGGATTATGCTATATATGTTTTTTGGTAGTCTTCTTAACTTGTTAGTTGCCTTGTGAATTGTGTACGTCTTTTCAGGTTCATAAATCTATGTGTAGAAAATATTTTTTAATGGTTTCATGGCATCCAAATAAGTGCATGTACCTTCATGTATTTAACCAATATCCTGTTATAGAACATTAGCTTATATCTACTTTTTATTACTATATACAACACCATGATGAATATCTCTATACATGTACACTTAACTGATGATTTCTTTAGGCTAAGTTATTAGAAGTAAAGTTATTGGGCCAAAAATGTACAGATTTTATTATTTTATTCCTATTGCTAAATTAACAAAATTTTGCTTTTACCATTCATTGGCTTATTGAAGTGCCTCTTTCTCCTAGGTCTCATTTGATGTTTTGAATATTTCACTTATTTTGTGAATTGCCTATTCATGTACTTTATATATTCTCTCTTTTCGCTTGTTCATCTCTTTCAGAGTGGTTTTTTAAACACTTTTATTAAGGATATTGTGTGGATATTAAGTCCTAGTAATGTTATATATATATTGCTAATATTTTTCCAAGTTCACCAGTTGTCTTTTAACTTATGCTGTGTTTTACCCAACCAGAAATGTTGTTTTATGTAATCAAAAATGTCAATATTTTCCTTTATTTCTTACTTTGGAATCATACTCAGAAAATCCTTCTCCACCTCAGGACTATAAAAGAGTTTACCTAAATTTTCTTTTAGTACAGTCATAGTTTCATTTTTACAAGTACATTTTTAATACATTTAAAATCCATGTAAAGGTTCTGATGATTCTTCCTGTCACTTTCTTTCTAATCTTCCTGCTACTGACCTCTTTTGGGCCCTGTATGGTTGTAGCCATCTCCTATTTCTTGTCTTTTTAAAAAATATGTATTATTCTTATGATCCTTTGGAGAAGAACATTCCAGAGACTGTCCATTGTTAGGAGAAAAAAAAAAACAACCCCTCAGCGCCCTCCAGCCAATTCTATTTTTCTAATCTTGGTACTCAATCTTACCTCTCTACATGAGCTTTCTACTCAAGATGGGCTGAAATAATCCTTGTCTCCCAAATACATCTCCTTGCCTTGTATGCAGTTCTCTCCTCATGAAACGCCCTGCCCACACCCAAACCATTCTTTTTTTTTTAATAAGTGAATTTTTATTTTTTATTTTTGGTTGTGCAGGGTCTTAGTTGCAGAAGTCTGGCTCCTTGGTTGCGGCTCTCGGGCTCCTTAGCTGTGGCATGCGAACTCTTAGTTCCCCAACCAGGGATCGAACCCACATCCCCTGCATTGGAAGGCGGATTCTTAACCACTGCACCACCAGGGAAGTCCCCCAAACCATTCTTTAAGGCACCTCTATGAAGTTGTTTCTGGGCGCACTGTTCACAGAACCCTTGCCTGTTTGTGAAACTCCTGTATCACTTACATGTTTGGGTCCTAGTTGTATGCTGGCTTTGTTATTTAACATTCTACTTGTGTGTTTTAAAGTCATAGATTTAAGGGTTTCAGAGTTGGGAGAGTCTCAAAATCTGTCATCCAATGTGTTATCTGACATCAAAACCCTTCTACAATATTCTTGCTAAATAGTCAATAAATTTCTATTTGATTACCTCCAATAATGGGGAACTCACTATATCCCATGACTGACCATGCCATTCCCAGCTACATCTTAATGATTAGGAAAATCTTTTCTTATTAAAAGCCCTCAAATCTGCCTTCTTGTGTCTTTTGCTCTTGGAGGGAGTTATGGAAAGAACAGTAAATGTAGGGTCTGGAAAAACTAGTTTTGAATCTTGACTCCACTCGCTAATTGTTTTGTGATCTTGGGCAAAATGCTCTACTTCTGTTGGGCTTCAGTTTCCTCACTTGTAAAAGAGGGCTGATACGTACTTCATATTGTGGTAAGAATAGCATTAACTGAGAATTAAAGTAATTAAATGAGGACATATATGAAAGTCTCTGGCATAGATCTTAGCACTGAGTGTTTGATAAATATTTATTGAATTAGAATTTGATTTATCTTCCAGAGCCCTGCAGACAAAATCAAATCCTATAGGCTGATGTGATATATACTTTATGTAAGTCTTTTCTTCTCCATCTAATGTTTCCAATTACTTGAGTTATTTTCTGATATCATGATTTCTTAGGTCATAATGTCCACCCTCCCGACTCTCCTGGTCACTCTCTTCTCAACATACTGCACTTTTTCCACATACTCCTTAAAGGATGGGATTCTGAACTCTGGCAGGCACCCCCAAAGTCACCCAGTCAGCATCCTATCATTCTATATATCAATTACAGTAGCTCTCGAACCTGGATATATATTAGAATCACCTGGAGAGTTTAAAAAAATACTGATGCCTCCCCAGCGCTTCTGTTTTAAAAGATCTTGAGTGACAACTGAGCACTGACACGCTTTAACAGCTGGTCGGGTGATTGTAATGTGCACAGGTCTGTAAATTCCTTGAGAACAGATTTGCCATCCCTGTTTGACATGCCTGGAGTCAGAAATGTTTCAGAACCAGATTCCCCCACCCCCGCCTTTTGAAAAGGTAAAATGGTGCATAAATCATTAATATGAAATAGGCTTGGTGGGTCTGGATCTTTCCCTTGCAGTCAAATACATAAATATTTTGACAATGACATACCTAAACATTCAAGTTGAGTGGAAACTGTAAAGACCATAAATAGCCTTGTGTTAGCTGAGATCTAGTTTTGCAGCCAAATGAATTTTGGCACAAAATTTCAGAAGAAAATTGCAGTTTTGAGAACTTCCAAATTGTAGATAAGGGATTGTGGGTCAGTCTTTAGTGGTATCTTTTTACCATTTAGCCTGGTGCGCTGCCCAAACCTGTGAGTGTAACACATATTCAGTGAATGAATGAATGAGACAGACTTTTCTATGTGTTAACTCTAGAGGTATTAGTATATTTCCAAAAGTCAATTTTCCTCCAACAAAGAGTGACTTTGGACCTTAAAACTTGAAATAAGCTAATTTGAAAGTCACTGAAGGAGAATAAGAATCAGTTTGTTTTGTTTTTTGTCATCTCAGGATTTTTATACCAGAAATATATTCATATCAAATGACTGAAGACAGATGGAGAGCTTTTTTTATATGGGATTGAAGTAAGTGAACCAGTAAATGTTTTTTGCCTATTATGTGCAAAGCATTATAACATATTCTGTAACAATTGAGAAACGGGTTAGAGCACAGCTGGAAAAATCTAAGTTGCAGTGAGAATCACAATGAAGGAATCTGAAGAATATTTTGACTTTGAATAACCAACATTGTAAGTCTAATGTTTAATCAACATTAAACAAGGTAGAATGGCAGGAGTTTACACATATAAACAGAATTAAACTGTAGGCATCAGCAAGCATCAATCAATTAACCAATCAGTCTCCAGTTCTCTTTGCTTTCAAAGTAGAAAGTCTCTGAAGAAATGAGATCTGTGTAGACATTTAGTGCAGACTGGGGTGCTCTCAGCCATTTAAGAGGAGACACTGGAGTGGCATTAAGATGGTGGTCTTTACTGAGTGGTTTTTACCAGGAGGAATCTATTTCCTAACTTAGACATTGTATTAATCAGGGTTCTCCAGTGAAACAGAACCAACAGGATGTATATATATTCTGATTATGTGTGTACAGAGATTTATTATAAGAATTTGGCTCACGTGGTTATGGAGGCTGGCAAGTTCAAAAATCTGCAGTGTAGGCTGGTACACCCAAGACCCAGGAGAGCCAATGATGCAGATGAAGTCCAAACTCAGTCTGCTGGAGGATTCCCTTTTCCTTGGGAGGCGAGTGTTTTTGTTCTGTTCACGTCTTCAACTGATTGGATAAGGCCCATCCACATTATGGAGGACAATCTGCTTTACTCAAAGTTCACCAATTTAAATATGAATCACATTGAAAAATACTCTTCAAGGTGATACATAAAATTAACCATCACAGATATTAATGCAAAACAACCTCTCCTCATCTCAATATTTAAGTTTAATTGGTTACAGTTAGATTTGACTATAGTTAGATTTTTTTTTCAGAGTCCCAAATGCATATTGCTTTATTTCATAGATTGGTTTTTTTTTCTTTTTTTAGATCTGCACGTGTCTACCAAGCTCCCAGGAGATGCCAGTGCTGCTGGTCTGAGGACCATACTTTGAGGACTCAGGGGCACTATTTTATGCTCCTGCCTTCAGAGGGAAACAGTGTATAGCAGAGACAAAGGAATCTTTTCCTGAGTTCTGAGTTTCAAAAGTTTAGGTCTTTGGGGGAAAAGGGAAGAACTTAGGAAAAAATGTAAAGATCGGAGAGAAGTCATGATACAATTGGACTGGATTGCAAAGAAAATCAGTGTCCCTAAGAAGAACCCTTCTCCCTCCTACCCTCCCCCCACCCCCTGGTTGGGAGAAGCAGAACTCCAAGAGAAATGTGGGGAATCTGTGGGGAGTTATAAGATTCATTCATGCCAGGTAGGTGGGAATTTATAAAGGAAATTAATTAGCCTTACATCTTACACATGTAAGATGTGTTTCATAAGTTTTTTTTTTTTAAACTATGTTAGTGATTTGTTCCGTGCTTACTCTGTTCTAGGTAGGGGCCAGCCAACAGTTTTATGTATTTTATTATTTCATCCTCACAACAACCCCTTGAGCCATGGGGTAGCTACTTCTATTATCCACATTTTCAGCAGAGGTTCAGTGAGGTAAGGGGTGTCCTGCCTATCCCATGGTTAATAAGTAGAGGACCCAGGATTTCTGATGAGATTTTTGTGGGGATTAAATGAATTGATATTTGTATCTGTGAGCCAACTGTGCCTGGCCCATAGTAAATATTATATAAATGTTAGCAATTATTGTTACGATTCCTTGATTTTAGATTTTAGAAGATCCTCTCCCAGTTCTTTCTCTTCTACTGACAGAGCTAGAGTTTTCACCTCTTTCTACCCCTTCTGCCAAAAGACCGGAGACCTGTGTTCACTCCTTCTCTAGCAGAGCCAAGAGACTGGTGGAGAAAACTTCTGTATTCAACATGATGTGTAGGAAGTAAGAAGACAGGAGAAGCAGCTTTTCAGAATATGGAGAGAATTTGTGACACCAGTAGGGTGAAAAGAGGACTGTAGGTCTTGTTGGAAAGAAGGGAGAGAGCACAGAAAGTCAGAGCCCTGTGCTTGGCCTCCTTTCTCCAGATGCCCCAGCTAGCAAAGAGGCCTCCCCCCTCTAAGTACAGCCATCCCTTGGTACCCCCTGGGGATTGGTTCCAGGACCCCCACGGATGCCGAAAATCCACTGATGCTCAAGTCCCTTATATAAAATGGCATTGTATTTGCATGTAACCTATGCATAACCTCCTATGTAATTTAAATAATCTCTAGGTCACTTACAATATCTAATACAATGTAAATGCTATACAAGAATCTTCTGGTATGCAGCAAATTCAAGTTTTGCTTTTTCGAACTTTCTGGAATGTATTTTCCCAAATATTTTCTATCCATGGCTGGTTGAATCTGTGCATGTGGAACCCTCAGATATGGAGGTCTGACTGTAGTGCAAAGGAATGAGGTAGTTGCATTGGAGGCTCAGTGACAAATCCCGTATCCTTCACTCCCTTGTCCTCTACAATTGGCACTTTTCACTTGAACCATTGAATAAAGAACTACTGAAACTATGCTTAGGGTCTAGTGGTTGTATGCAGTTGACCCTTGAACAATATGGGTTTGAACTTTGCAGGTCCTCTTATAGGTGGATTTTTTTTCAATAGTAAATGCTACAGTACTATTCCTTCTGAGGTTGGCTGAATCCTCGGATGTGGAACTGGAGATATGTAGGAACTGCGGATAATGGAGTTACATAAGTCATACTTGGATAATGCAGTGCCCCTCAACCCTGTGTTGTTCAAGGGACAACTATATTTTGCTTGAGCACAGGCGGAAGAGGAGGTAACTGGAGCACGGGAGGTGGTAGGTCCTTTCTATATGGTCACTGGCAGACTATCAAGCATCAAGAGCAGGCACCTAAAGTCAACAACAGGACAGAACAACGAGGAAGAGCTTTTCATTTTATATTCTTCACCTGGATAACTGAATACCGGTGTACCTGATAGACACATATAGACAGATTTGCATGAACTAATGAATTCTACTTTTTGCATAAGCCAGTTTGAGTTAGGTTTCTGTCATATCTAGCCACAAAGAATCCTGATTGGTCATGCCACATAATTTGAGAAATTAATTTTTTTTTCTGCTAAATACAAGGAACCTAAGGAACTGAAGAAGTAGTAGATTTCACTTCCCTGATTTTAACGGGCAAAGGCTCAGGCGGTATTCTGGATGGACTAATTAAAAATGAGAAGATGAATCAGGATTTTGACACCAGAGTCATTCATGGAGAGTATTAGTATTTACACATATCTAAAACTCTGGATGTAAAGGCTGAATTGGAACTGAGGGTCAAAACTTCTTTTGTTTACCCTCATGGAAGTCTGCCTCTAAAGAGAGAGAATGTGCTGATCCTATTGGCGTCATGCATTTCTAGTTATATGGCAATTTAAAAAACTGTATAACTAAGTGGGCATTTGGTTTTTAATGCTTCAGTCTTTTGAATTTATTAATATGAGTCTACCCTTGGGAGATGGCAGTATACCAGTTACTTAGCTATTGTCATTTCACTCCACATTTAACCTATTCTAGTCTGCTCTGTGATGATGTAGCTGGGGCTTTGCAAACTACATTTCCCAGAATCCTTTGCCTGCCAGCTTCCTTGAGTAGCAGGCCTTTCAAAGAAATTGGAAGTTAGGAGGAGGAGAGAAGGGATTATCATCCTGTGGGCTTGCTATTCCCGTTAACAAGGCACCTACATGGGCATTTCATTCCAGGCTCCAGCTTCTTTGGGTATTTTGCTCCTTTGTCTGCTTAGAGATACCTGGAGCAGCCAGGTCTCCCTCCTCTGAGATTCTAGGCTCTGATAATCTAAACTCTCCTTTGTATTTCCCTAGCCTAAGGGGTGGTAGCTATACTTATTATCTCTGGGTTACCTCAGTGTTTCAGTGTTTTTGCCCCTTCAGCCCACCAACACCTGTGTAACCAATTCCTTATATAATATTGAATTCCCTCTTGAAATATTTACTTTGGTGTCTGTTTTCCTAACTAGATCCCAACATGTAGTAATAGAAATGGTCCCAGGAAACATATCCTAAAAGGTGGAATTCTGGAGCTGGTTCAATTATGTTCTTGGCCTTGAATTACTTCTTAATGCCTTGTTAATAGAAAATGAGTTGTTAATAGTCCATGACATGCACTAGTATCATGATTAACTAAATGATCTCTTGTGGTTGACTATGATGAAGTGTTTGCTGAAGCAAACATCTTGGATACCAAGTGGCTGTCATACATATCTTTTTGGCTGTAGTGAAAACTATGAAATCTAGAAGGTAGGGTAACTCCTTGACTGAACTGATGAGGTTACTGAGGGAAAATGATAAATTCAGACCTTATAACTCTCAACTAGATACTGTTGGAGATTCAGAGAGTTTCTATAGCCACCCTAAAAGAGTCTTTTACTTTCTGTAGCCACTAAGCTGACTTTGCTGACGAACAGGCCATAATTTAATTGGTTGCAGAATTACAATAAAAGCTGGATTTATAAAGTGCCAATCTGTTACTTGAAAGTTAAGACATTGATTGGGAAGGAGTGGGACCTGGAGTGGGGTACCTGTATGAATTCAGATGGAGCAGAGAGTCTGGAACCCCTGAGTTTTTCTGAGCCTCCCTTGCCTCCTGCTGTAACTGAGGAAACTGGCTTTCCCTTATTCCAAGGTCCTGTAAGAGCCTCACTTAAGTTGGTTGCAGTAAAAAAGGAGGCCTAGCCTTGTCAAGACCCACCAGCACCATCTCTGATGACCTCTACAACTCAAGTCAGAACAAGTACAGGGTATGAGTACAAGGAGAGTGTAGCTGTTACTGAACTCTGCTTGACAATCAATACCCAAGAGAGAGGCAAATGTTGGTAGAAAGGAAAGTTGCTTTTAATCAGAATGCTGACAATCCGAGGAGATGGTGGACTCAGTGTCCCCCAAAAGCCATCTCCGAAGATTCTGTTCAGCCATGAAAGCTATTAAAGAGAAAAAGGGAAGTAACCTCAGTTAATCATTGAGGTAGGGGGTCAGAGTCATCGCCATCTCCCACCACGTGCAGGCTTGCGTGCAGGCTTGCCGACTTCTTGTGATCTTTAGATGCTATCTTGTTCACACAGTTTATTCACGAGATTACCGAAGGGGAAGCTAGGGAATAGACCTGGTCATCTGTTAATTACTTATTCTTCATTTCTACTTCTTTGATCTATGGAAAGACCAACAAGTTAGGCAAAGTATTGTGTGATCAAAAGATTTGAAAGGGGGCTTCCCTGGTGGCGCAGCGGTTGAGAGTCCGCCTGCCGATGAAGGGGACACGGGTTCGTGCCCCGGTCCGGGAAGATTCCACATGCCGCAGAGTGGCTGGGCCCGTGAGCCATGGCCGTTGAACCTGCGCGTCCGGAGCCTGTGCACCGCAGCGGAAGAAGCCACAACAGTGAGGGAGAAGCCAGGTGAAAAAAAAAAAAAAAAAAAAGATTTGAAAGGTGTGCTAGGGCCGGAGGTGAGTAGAGCATGGGGGCGCCTGGTTTAAGGTTAGTGACAAGACCAAGGGGCCTCCTGCAGAGAGCTCTTTCCTGTAAAGGGCGCTTTCCTGCCAAAAGCTGTTTACATAGCTATGCTCAAAAGAATTGCAAAATTTGCTATTATATACTGGCAGAAACCTGGTGAATTTATGTGGGAATGGACTTTCTGGTTGTTAGATTGAGATAGATGGACTATAACATTGGATTAGGCTAAGTATATTTATTTTTTTAATTTTTTATCTTATTTTATTTTTTATCTTTAAGTAGGTGTTTTTTTTTTTTTTT